TGTGTAACAGTCAATATAACAATCACTAACAGTTTTAATGTGGGGTATTACTAGTAGTAGAGCTATTGAACAAATGTGATTCTGACTTTAAGTAGAAAATTGGTTTTTGTGATTTCTATGTAGTGCAGAAAGAAAGAACGTTGAAAGCTTTCACCATGATATTAGTCATACTCATGTAATTGGTTGCTTTTGTTTGTGAAACACTGTTATTGAGTCTCATAAACTGTATCAGAGTTGCAGGAATTCGTATTTTCTTGGTATTTACAGAAGTCTTTTGGTCAGAAAACAGATCATAAACCAAATATACGCGTTAAATTGAAATCCATTGTAGAATGAGTTACCCTAGCCTATGTCTCTCCCCTCGGCAGCTGTGGTATTGTTCAAAATTTGGGAGAGATATGTAAGAAGTCAACAAATAGTGTTATCTGCTAATGTGTAACCCTTTTCTTGCGAGAGTGTAATGTGGAAGACACAGGAGTATTTTAACTATATAAAATATTTCTTTAGACAAGCTCCATTCAAAGTAGTGAAAATGAGGATTACACAACTATAACCAACCTCCATACCTAGGCAGCAGCCAAATTTAGCTGGACAAACTGCCCAGTGTATTACATTTTAGACTACATCATCTTTGCTCTCCACCAGAAATACTGAGGTGACAGTGAGAGGAAGTTGATGCTATTCTACAAAGTTCTGTGTGCAGGGGGAAGGGGGCTGTTTTGTGTTTTTTTCCCATGCCTTTTCATGTGGCAACAAGTTTTATCTTTTCTCCACATATATGAATGAGGTCTCCAAAAGCTAAGATATTTATAAAAAAAAAAAAAAAAAGCTAGGTTTTGGAGCTTCTCCTTGTAAATTCACTGCTTATAATCAAGCATCTTCAGCCCCCTGAATGTAGTTCTCCAAAAACCTGGCACTGGAGTACTGGGTGCAGTTCTGGACTCCCAAGTACAAGGACATTGAGCTTCTAGAGAGGGTCCAGCAGAGAGCCACGAGGATGATTAAGGGACTGGAGCATCTATTGTATGAGGAAAGACTAAGCGAGCTGGGCCTGTTTAGCCTGGAGAAGAAAGGGTTGGGAGGAGATATGACCAACATGTTCAAGTATCTGAGGGGTGATTTAGGGAGGATGGGGCCAAACTCATCTTGGTGGTGGCCAGTGGCAGGACAAGGGATAATGTGTACAAATTGAAACACAGGAGGTTCCATCTCCATGTGAGGAAGAACTTCTTTCCTGTGAGGGTGACAGAGCCCTGGAACAGGCTGCCCCGAGGGGTTGTGGAGTCGCCTTCTCTGGAGATCTTCCAAACCCACCTGGATGCCACGTGCTCTGGGTGTCCCTGCTGGAGCAGGGGGGTTGGACTAGATGATCTCTAGAGGTCCCTTCCAACCTCAACCATTCTGGGATTCTGTGATTATTTGGAGAGGAGGGTAGGTTCCAGTTTAGCATCTTGCACAGTTTGTAACAATAGTCTTGTGATTTTTTTATGCTCTAACTTCTGATCCCACTAATTTTCAGCAGTCTAGCCAGAGCAGAAAGCAGAAGGAAAGACAGGCAGCAAGTTGACAAGACAGCAAGACTACTTTTATCAACAGAGTATCAGTGGAATCCCAAAGTGACTCCTTTATCAGTGGGCAAGCCATGTGTGATACTATATAATCATATCACATATGTCTTTAGGTTTATATGGAGTTTATTTCTGTTCACTTTGTTGTTGTTGTTTTTCTCTGAGTATCAACAGTAAAGAGCAGCCAGGATGTGACTTCCTAGCAGAATCACCCTTGGGTGAAGTTGATTGCCAGATTACTGTTAATAGCCCTTTCTCAGCACACAAGTGCCGAGAGCACTGCTGAGCCCAACTCTTCGCCCCTTGTTGAGCCTGATGTTTCCAGGAGTGTCAGCTCCTTCTCCTAGAAGATTAAGATCCCTTAAAGATTAAGGGATAGAGAATCTCTGCCTTTCAATTCTGTAGCCATGAGAAGCGATGCTAGTGGGAAGAATATTTTACTTTTGTGTCTACAATAAAAGGGATTGTGACACTGAAATATGTTCAAGGTTGTAGTATAACCAATAGATTGAGGTGGCTGCAAGGACCCACGGTTTATCCCATTGTAGTTTTACTTCCCAGCAAATGTAGTTTCTGTTGGTCTGCTTCTGACTGCCCTTTAAAAGACAGCTGTTGCAAGGATGATTTTCATGGTCTTCTCTAACTTGCTGTAATAAGGAAACAGACCTATTTGAAAGTCTCAGAAGAAATTGGGACTAGAGGATAAAGTAGGGCTAGAGTCAAAGCAAGAGTATCTTGACCAAAAGCTTGGTCTGTCCGCCTCTGAGGTAAACGGTCCTTCAAGGTTGAAAAACATGTCAAGATAATCATAGGCAAGGGTGGTTGGCTGGAGTACATGTGTGCTAGAACAAGTTCATAAGTTCTAGAAGGATGATGTAGTAATTGCCCTTGCTGCTGAGGAAAGTATCTTTTTTTCCACCCCTTCATATAAAATAATATCCTCCTTGTGTATAATGTAGTGAGAGGGAAATACATTTCAGCAGGGTAGAGGTGGAAAAGTAAATTCTGGTGTGGAACAGGGTGATGTGTACACCATAATTAGAAACAGATTAGGAGTCTGCAACACAGCTGTTTAAGCACTCTGCTTTGCTTAACTTGTTTCAGAGGTAAAAAGATGTTAATAAGCAAATAGCAACAGATATTAGACAGTGAAAAGGAGAATAAAATTACAGCAGCCAAAAACCACCTTTAAAACCGCACAGAGGTAGAATGCCTCTGTAAGGTTTTAGAGGTGAAAGGTTGTGCAGAAGTTTCACTTCCAGACACACTGTTGCCTGGCTCCCATAGCAACTTCACCTATTTGCTGGCTCTGATTCAGGCTGATGGTCACTCTTGTGCATCCTCATGCTTGTCCCAGCTGCTGCCAGTGAAGAGGCACTCACCCAAGGGCTGACTCCAGTTGCTGGTACTTACCCCTCTAGATACAGCTCCACATTCTGGAAATTGATGGGAAAAAAAATGGGCGAGAAAAATGGGCCAGGTTCCACTGATCAGTTGTAGGGTACAGCCAGGCAACGGTAGGGACCAGGAGCCTTTATATGCTTGTACTCTTGTGTCCCCCACCTTTGGTTCCTCCCTTCAGCTCCCCATGATAAGCTTTATGCAACCCTCAAACGTTCTTCCCCCGCATCCAGTCATATGTCTCACTCCAACAGGCAGGAGCCTCTGCACCTGTAAGGGGAGCCAGAGCCCCTGCTCGCCCCAGGCCTCCTCTGAATGAAAGGAAGAACAAGGGCCTGATGGGGCTAAAGAGGTGCTTTTCCTTTAGAGGAGAGACTGCACCTGAACAGGGGGCTTCCTGGCAAAAAGAAATTTGGCTTGTGACAGCAATGCTTGATGAAACTGAAAGCCAATTCACTCCTAGTCCAGTGTTATAATAAACCTATACCTCACCTCAGCAATGAGAAAACTGAGAAGAGAGGGTTTTTTGTTTGTTTGTTTGTTTTCATTCTCAATACATCACTTGGTTTCAGCAGGTTTCTTTCCAGCGTGAGGAGTGAGAGCCCGGCCATGGCTAGGGACAGCACCGGTGCGTCTGTGCCTGCTGGCAGGGCAGGGAGCAAGCGAGCTAGGGCTAATGACCTGCCCTGGAAGAAGGCCTGACTGCACCTCCAAAACCGTCCGTCATTCGCCTGGGCTAGGGCTGAACAGCTGCAAGCCAGGACCAAACCTTGGCTGTTCCCCTGAAAGGCAGCAAGAGGCCAGACCCCTAGCAGGGTTTCTCTTTGGCAGCAATCCCACTGGTCCTGTTCTGACAGAGACAAGCAGCGGGAGGGATAAAGTGAAGACAGGAAAAGGTAAAACAAAACAGAAATACTCAAATACAAAATTTATTAATTAATTACAAAAATGGAACAGCATATTTTGAATTAAATACAACATTTTGTGAAGATAATACTCTGTACTCCCATAAAAAAGCAGCAGAGTGATGGTAGTGTTTGTTGCTTTTCCTTACTGCCTTGTAACTTAGGTTTTTGAATTATTAGATAAAGCCATGTATTTCCAGTCTGCATTCAATTCACTTTAACCATTCTTAACTTTATGCAATTAGTATTTTCTCTAGTTTAGTATATTCTTATCACTAACAACTTTTAGAGACATGAAATACTCATCTTCAGTGCTTAACTCCCTGAGGTAATGCGTTTCTGGTGCAAATGCTCCAACAGCACTGCCCTTCACCACAGATATGGCCACCACATCATCAGCCACTCCAGCAGCAACAGAAAGCTTGGCTATCCTGTCACATATCCTGTCAGCGTTGCAGGTGTTGCATAGATGTTGATCTAGCAACTGCAAATGTCTAAAGCTGCAACACTTTGTGATACTGAACAACACGGGATACTGAAGCAAACCTACTAAGAAAGAGGACCACACATCCATCTTCTTGGCACTGCCATAAGCTAACAGTGCTTTTTAACCTGCCAGCAGCACTTTGTAACCTGAAGCACATATACGCGACAGCGATGGAAAACACCCTGTTGAACACTTAAACACTGTTTCAGTTAATCAACACAAATATTCACTGAATCAGGACAGAAGTACCAGGCATAAAATGAAATAAATATGTTTAGTATCAAAATAACAATAGAAACACAAATTGAAAAGTATTAAAAAGAACAAAAGGAATGCTTTGGTCAAAACACAGAACATGAATGGGGCAAGACAATGCATCTGCTCCAACAAGAGACATTTCAGCAGTCCTGTCAAGTTCAGGAATCAAGGTCAGTCAATCTGCTAGTCACAAAAACTAGATGTAGTTCTTATTGTGAGTGCAAAATAAACAAAAAAAAATACATCCCTGCAATATTCTTTACAGACAAGTGCAGTGTGCTTGACATCCATTTAATACAGTCAGAGCTTATGTTCAAATAAGGATTTAATAAGGATTTTTCACATCTAAACCATTTAGTGACAAACATTAATAGGTAAGTAAACCATATATTTTACGCAGTCGTTCTCTAGAAGTCATTCAAATCAAATAATTTTTGGTTAAAACATCACGGTATTCCTGTATTGCCCTTGAAAGGGGATCCTGGTCTGCATTTACATTCCTTGGAGATCCATCAATAGATGCCATGGGGGAAACTCCAGCAGATGCAGTCTCAAGTTCAGCAGTGGCTGCAGGGCGAGAAGGGGGAGAAAAGAAGGCAAGATTCCATGCACTAGTTCTACAGTAGACTGGGGCCAAATAAGTGGGTTACTGCAGAGGGTAAAGATCTGGAGAAATATTTAAAAGCATCCGAGGGAAACAGTCAAGAGGACAGGCACAAAGGAATGAATATGAGTTTTCATGTTTACTCATTATGAACATTCATAATGTTCCTTAGTCAACAGTATTGGTAAATATAGTAAAATACATTCCAAAGGCCATATGCAAAGTGTCTTCAAGGGAACTCAAAAACAATTTCCACTCTTTATACTCAAGTTTCCATTTTCCTTAAAAGTTCACAGCAATTGTGCTTTGGAATACCAGACTTTAAAATTGTTTCTGCATTTTATGTGATAAAGTCCAAAATAATCAGCCTTGTAAAAGGCAAATACTTCTACACCGCAGTCAGGCTAAGACAAGAAAAACCTTGGAAATAAAATTGGAACTAAAATTAAACTGGAACTAAAATTAAATTGGAACATAATCAAGCAAATTACCTTGGTCAAGCTCTTTAGTGATTTTTTCATCCAGTTCTCGTCGTACCTAGAATTACATATAAAATTTGGTTAATATTTTAATAGTTAGCTTTTTCTGATACTAGCTTCCAATGCAGGTAAAATCCCTTAGCTATTACTGCCTCATTTAGGATTGGTCCTCTTTTTTATGAGTCATCATAAAAAGACTGAGTATTTGTCCAGTCTTTGGTCTGGGCATTATGTTTTCCACTGCCTTTCTGTCCCAACATCTCCCTTTATCTGGTGGGCTCCCTTCTTCCTAGGCTTTCCTGCTGCTCCCTCCCGTTTGTACACGGAGGCTGAGGCATTTGGCTGGGCCTGTTCTTCTCTCAGTGCCTCCAGCTCCCACCTCCCGCCGTGAGGCGGTGAGGGCAGCCACCACCACTACAAAGCGTCTCCGAGAGCTTCTCCACCTCGAGGAGCAGGAGCGTTTGGCTGCAGCAAGGCCTGCTGGGAGGGCCCTTGCCTCTGCTCTCGTGTCGAGGTCTGCCTTGTTGCAGCTCTTCCTCCTTTACCATCCTGCTCCCTTTTCTGTGTTCTTTGCTTTGCTTCCTTGTCCTACTGTTCCCGCTCCCTTGCCCTGGTCTTCACCTTACTTCACTCTTGTACAAGGTCCCTGCATTTTGCCTGCTTCCCACTGCTTGCACACTGAGCAGCCCCTGCTGATGGGACAGTACTGGCTGCCTCCTGAGCTCTCTCAGTAATGTGCACCCCCCTCTCTCATCTGAAACAAGCATTCACAGAGATCCAAAGCAAATTCATCCCTGCAACTGCTGCTCATTACGTGCACTGCTTTAGCTGCTACCCATCTGTTGGCTTGCTTGAAATCAAGGAAGCAGACACCTTGTTTAAGCCGCTCAGGATGTGGGCAGCACAGCACCAGAGACTGAGTCAGAATTAAAGGGACCCAAACACTTGTCATGTTCTCTCAATAATAGAATAAAGAGGAGATAAAGCAGAGTGAAGAGGAGGGCTTGCCCATGGCTCCCTTCTATGCAAAGAAGGGAAGAAATCACAGCATTTTGTGAAGGATTATGTCCTTGTCCAACGAGTGCCACGTGGCTCCCAAATGATAGGATATGATGCTAGCATTCTGTGAGAAACATTGTGTCACACAGACTGTTAGCTGTGGAGCCCACTTTGGCCAGAGATATTACCAAGGGTGCAGCACTGCTGCAAAAATAGACCAAAAAGGAGTTTCTGAGGAGTAGTCAGTTTTACCCATGCAACTACGCAGTATTCATCTGTGAAAAGGAAGACCGATTAATTAATAACATATAGCAGGAACTCCTAAAAGGAAATGTGTCCTAGGCATAGCATAAAGCCTTCACTATGCTACAGAGTGACAAGCTAGGCAATTGCACTTACATACTTAATATCATTCTTTTGGGAATGATGTAAGATGGAAATGGATGGAAAATGAGCCATGAACAAAGAGTTACACTCATTATGTTACACTCATTATGAAGTTACCAATTTAAAATAGGTTACATACTTTTAATTTAGAGAATTTCTAATGACCAAATATTATAAGGCAATATGTAATAAATATGCTACGTGGGAGCTTCCCCTGCAACAGCATTATTAATCACACTTTTTCTCTTCTAAAAGCATTTGGTTATCACTAAGCAGAGGTAACAGATGTAAATAACTTTTTGTCTATGAGCACTCTTGAATTTTGTACAACTCCGGTGACTACCTAGCCCAGATACTTGTGTTTTATTTGGATGATGCGCAGTTGTTTTAGCAGACTAGACTGCATGTTCTGGAACAAGAAATGGCTGCTGATCTTCAGCTAAGACACTTAAACTTCCTTACTGATATTCTTTAGAAGTAACTGAGAATTGCATTTAAAAACAAACAAAAAAAACCCCACACCTACCTTAGCCACATAGGCTTCAACTCTATTTCTTGACAATAAAGCATTCTCCATTGGGCTCATGAAGCTTCCTCCAAGACTAAGACTTCTATTCAGTGCCAAATTGTTGCCGAGATGTCCCAGCTGAGTTGAATACAGGACTGGACTAGCAGTCAGACCCCCTCCACTCACAATGCTGCTTGCAATTAAAGATCTGCTTCTATGGCGCTCGCTAAAGAGTTTAGCATTGGCTTCTGCTAGTCTTTCATTAGCTCTGTGAAAAATTCAGAAGCAAGCATGAAATACTTTTGGTAATGCTTTCAGAAAGTTATTCTCCAGGTCTTAAGATTATTATTACACTTCTGAAAATGGAAAGCCTTATGAGTGTTCTAAAACAGATGCCAATCTGACCTAGAGGTTTTGAAGAGCCTACTTCCAAGAAGTCAACCTAACCGCAGGGAGCAGCAAGAGTCACCAATACTTAGGGTTTTTCAGGATCAGATCTTCAAAACAACAAATGCCATCTACATACACAATTTTTCTTCCTGAACAGGATTCACTCTGCGCTATCCTCTACTTCCCAATGTAAACTCAAACCAAAGGTGGGCTGCTAAAATGAAAGACAAAAAGATTTTTTGCTCCACAAAATCAGCTGCGGTTCTCTGAAGGGCCCCTCCTTATCTAAAGCTTTTTAGCTGGAGGAGACGAGGACGGAACGTGAATTTTCTTTTTCCTCTACAAAGGCATGATAAGTTGTGCTGCTGCTGGAACACTAAAGAGGAAGACAATCCTAAACACAGAGAAGAGTCTTAGCTCATTTTCTTAGATGTTATCTTAGACTTACAGCCAGCACACTGACCAGATACAGAAGAGGAATTTTAGGAATAAAGATCTGACAAAAAATAGTAGTATCCTATTACTTGTTTAAAAAAATAATAAAGAAGTGTAGCTTTACTTACCTTTCCAGTTTGTTTTCTAGGCATCTTCTATTTTTCACCTCTTCCAAATAGAGTTCTTTGTACTTTCCCACTTCTGCCTGTGCGGATTCTTTTTGAAAAGTATTGTCTTTTTCTATATTTTTTATTCTATCCAGTTCTGATTCCAGATCTCCAATTCTCTGCTTTAGCTGGTTTCTCAGTGAAGCATGATGACCGGCTCTTATTTGTTCTAATCTGTCTTGGGAAGCTGCCTGCGCCTGAAGCGGATAATACAATTTCAACAACCAGAAAGAAAAAGGGATCAATTTCATGCATCCTGTTTAAAGAGCACACCCCTACTCAGAGAGGCAACTGTGCCTCCTCACTACCATTGCAATCAAGGAAGAAAGCATTCTACCACATTATTTCATTTTTTGAAAGAGCAGGTCTGAAAGAAACCTGTTCTTACTGCTGTTAATAATCAAAGCTATTATTGAAAGAACACCATCCCTGGAGGAGAGGGCATGCACAAAATAAGTCCTTGTTGAAATTACAAGAGTCTTCCAGAAAAGGGAAGTGACTTCAGTGACTTCTTTTCTGAGTACTTTCCACTGCAGAATGACAACGCAGCACCTGTACGCCCAGCCACACAAATTCTGAGCTACATGGCAATAGGATAATAGGAGGATAAAGAGAGGCCATATCCCCATGCTCTCCCATACTACCTATGATCTCCTTGGACTCAATTCTGCAGCCAAAAGGAAGACACAAAACAATGCCAATTCCTCACAATAAACAGCCAGAACAAAAAGACAAGATGGTGATTCCTCCAAAGAACTGCAAAAACAGAATTCCACCTTTGGCCAGCCTTGACTCAAGGTCCTGCAGATGCCACTGAAAGGCAATCAAAGGGCATGACCAACACATATTGTATGTGCACCTGCACCAAAGAACTTTTATGCAGATGTTTTCACTTCTACAATTTTAATTCAGGAAAGGCAGAAGTATAACACTAACAGAGTGAACCAGATACAAAAGATAAAATATTAAAAGGCATTAACAACCGAGCCACATTATGTGAACTCTAGACCTAAGTAATTTACCTGCAGAAACAGATTAACTTCTTGTAGTTTTTGTCTTAACTCTCGTTCTGCTCGTTCATCAATCTCTTTTTTATACTGTTCTATTCGGTTGTGATCTACTATATTATTCTCTAAATGATATTTGAGGTTGGACACCTCTTCTTTCAGACGGCATTTGCTTTTCTCCAATTTTTCCTGATTCGCACGCATAGAAGACAATTCATCTCCTAGATCCTGATTTCTTGCTTCTAGCTGCATGCATTTTTTAGACTCTGTCTCCAGCTGTTCGGAAAGTTCAGCAACCTATAGCCAGAAAATAAAACAAAAACACAGAGATCTAAAGTTACTCAGTTCTGTGAAAACCCATGAAATGTCTCCACTGAGACTGTAGTTGCCATATGCTGACTTAGCATGTAAACCAAAGGAAAACATATATTTTACACCATTTCTGATAGCACTGCTCACTTTTCCACACTTTCTGAGCTCTTTTTCCCATAGCTCACTAATCAATAAATCCTGCACCCTGACAGCACATACCAGCAGCATTTCATCCATGTGGACAAGTTGAAAAGTACCAAAGTTTTTCTTTAATGAGCTCCTTGTATGTTTATAGAAAATCATAAAATCACAGAATCATTCTACCCAGTATCTAATAAAACTAACATCTCTCTGAAACATGGTGTTTTAACAACAAGTCTGAACTTAAGCGATTAGGGGTAAGGTAGCAGGAAGAATGCGTGTATTAATGAGAACAATTTAGCCAAAGCAACTTCAAAAGCACTTCTCAGAATTCCTTTTCTGAGTGCCTAAGGCTTGGACAGATGGGCCAAAGCAGGTACTAGTGAACAATAAGGCATGAAACCTCTGTGTCACAACAGTATCTCCTATCCTCAAAGCAATGACACAATTTAGAAGAGTGAAACGTGAACTGTCTCCTATTCAACAGGACAGGGCACAAAAAATGAACTGGAACAAAGTTGATTTCACACAGTTTTATCAACCTTTCTTCCAGAGGAAGAATTCATCCATCAGACGTAGAAGGTGCTGCTAGAGCTCAAAACACAAGAGTTCAGCTGACTCTTTACAGGGCTGACTTAAGCATAGTGCAGCTGTACTGGAAGAGATGTGAGACACCCCACAGCAGGGGTTTGGCCGCCTTTGCTCAGGAGCTGCTTTGAAGTTAGGTTCTCACCTTTGGTTTCTGCCTGAGCTATCCTATTGTGCTCCTCTCAACCCTGACCCAGACCCTGACACAGGCCCTCCTGGCCTTGCTGATGACCTGTGCATCCCTACACATCACCCTTGGACTCTGCCTACCCTGCTTACATTCACTGGACCTTGCTTGATTTCACAGGTTGCCCAAAGAGGTTTTGTAATCTCCATCCTTGTAGATATTCAAAGGCTGTCTGGACAGGGTCATGGGCAATATGCTGTAGGTGACCCTGCCTTAGCAGGAGAATTGAACTGGATGCTCCCCAAAGATCCCTTCCAACCTCTACTGTTCTGTGATTCTGTCCTCTAGGACTGTGCCCTGGGCAAGGAGGCTGCAGCCCTCACCTGCCTTGCTGCAGCCCCTGGCTCCTGGATCCTCCTTCCTTTCCACACCAGCCTGCCCTTTATCTGCCTTCAGAGCAGCTGCTATTTACACGAAGGTGCCATGTTTACCCAGAGTGATAAGAAGTCCAATTTGATTTTCAGCCAACAATATAGAAAGAAGTAAGGAAAAGAATAAGACAGTACATCAAAAAGCTTACCTTTGTTCTTAATCTACTGACTTCAGTGCCCATTTCAGAATACCTGTTCTTCATTTCTCCCTGAGAACTAAGCTGGGACTCACTCTCTCGCATCTCATAAACCTTCAGTTTCTTCATATTTGTTTTCAAAAGCTTCTTGACCCTGGATAGCAAATTAACAAGCAAAATAAGAAGACAAGAACTGACCACTTTCACACATGCTTATGTAAATAGCATGGGCAGGGCTTACTGCATCTTTAATGTGCTCTATAGATCAGGAATTGCTAACAGAGAAGGGAGAAGCAAGGAGAAAGCAGGAGGGGTGGGGGAAAGAAAAAAGGGGGAGGGGGGGCCCCGAGGTGTGGGGGGGGGGGGGGTTCAAATTTACCTCAAAACAGAAATAAGGGATTTTTTCCTTCTCTTACCTGGATGACTTCAGGCAGCCTGCATTTATAATGCCTATTTAAACCCATATGCTCATATACAGAAGCCAGTTTCAAAATTTAACACAAAGCTTGAATTTGTGAACAATTATGTACTCATGGTCTTTGTCAAGTACTAAAAGCTCTACCTGTGGCATTCTTTCTGCAGTTCAGTGTTTCGTTTCATTTCTTGGCCCAGACGGACTTCTAATGACCCTTTCAATTCTATCAGTTTTTTCACTTCCTTTCTTTCAGTCTCACACTTCCAAAAAACAGAAAAAAACAAGACACAATTCAGCACTGGTATCTATATGCACTATGTGCACAGAGCATCCTTCACAAAGAAACTGTAGGATATCTCTATCTGTTAGTGAAAGTCTACAGAACTCCGGGAGACAGAACTCCTATATGAAATTCAGCACTTCAATCCTCTTATTAAGCAGACCAATACCCAGAGATGGAAACAGATGTCCTTCTCCCAAAGTGGAGGCCACCTTCTACTAGGGACTCATGGGGAAAAGGTAGAAAAGACACTGGAGAATGGCTTCCTCAATCCCTCTGCTAATACAAGGGAGGGCTTAACGTACCCACAGCAGGGAAGAGAGGGAAGAGCAGAGCTTATTTTAAAGCTTCAGCGGGATCTTCTATGATCAGTGGCCCACAGAGTCCACTGTTAGGGAACTATCAGACATTTTGTCTACCTGTAGCATTAGCTCTAGTTCATCCTTGTGGATGTTTACTAATCCAACTGTTGTTCTTCCTTCTGCTATTTTCTATGGCAAACCAGAGCAGAGCTAGCAGTTATTTTGACTTTGTACTTGTACCTTTCCTCTACAGAAAAGAAAAAAAAGAAAAGACTGCCCACTGCAGGTTAGCAGACACTTATTTCCCAAGAAGACTTGAAACTGTAAGAACTTGACAAAGAAAAGTAACTCAGTTGTATGGAGCATTTGTTCGGTGCCTGGAGAATTTTCTAGGCTAACCTGTTCCAAGATCTCAGCCTTTTCCCTTTCAAGCTGAGCAAGGCGTTCTTCAAGTTGGGATCTGCATTTCCGTTCTTCCTCCCAGGTACCGTGCAGCTCTTTTGCCGTCACAAATAACACACTCTGCTTTTGCATCTGTCAAAGGAAGAGCACCAAGAGAAACCAAAGTTGCAGGAAACACAGCATACTTCCTTTTTAGCTACATGTGACAATTCAAAGCATCCGTAGTGATCTACTGTCAGACAAACTTCGCTTAAGAAAAAGAGAAATGCAGCATTTGGGCCTGAGAGGCCTTACTTATTTGTCATTCCCAAATGCAACATAAAGCAGTAACCTAGGTGGAGACATGGCTACGGCTCTCCT